GGTCTTGTATGAATCATAAGACCAGGTGTGGGCAAACAAGCCCAATAATTATTTTGTTTGTTGGATCTCAAGGGCCTGTTAGGGTTGGTTGTTGGATGTTTGCTCAGAAATTATCGCTTGTATGGAACATGCTAGAGTCGATTTGTAGCATATTCTAGCCAGGGGATATGTTTGACAGTAGTTGAGTGATATGCTTTTGAAATAATGGAGATCAGTAGCACTTTATAAGCATTGAACCACATGATTTTTTTCCACTAAGATAAACATTCTAAACCCACATACATGTTCCCTTTCAATTAGCCACTACAGTATTTTTACAACTGTACATGTAGCTGTGAACTACTATTTCGGATATGATTAATGGTCAAATTACAAACATACATGTAGATATAAGTTAAAAAAAATAATTGTGTATCTGGGCTGGAATGAAGGGAAAGGTTAGAAAACAGGATGAACAGTTGTGAAATTATTTATTAAAGTGAAACAATCATTGAAAATCAAAATTAAACAGTTACTCTGCACATCAAATGTCATCAAAGTTAATCTTCATTATCATCATCACTGTCACTAAATGTATTAACATCAAATTCGGTCTCTTTAACAGTTTTTTTTCATTTTCACATTGACTACACATGCACAGGTCTGTACAAGAAAGGGGGGTTGGGATGGCCTAGAGTGCCGCGCTTCGACCTCTAGCTGGTCGGTCACCTCTGGCTTGTGGCTGTGGCTTTGATCCCAGGTGTGAGCGTATGTGGCATGGAGATAGAGGCGTCTTCTCAACCTCGTGGGTTTCCTCCGGGCACTCCGGTTTCCTCTCACTGCTAAAGACCCATACGCGCAAGCGAATTATTGAAATAAAATTGAAACTGTATGTTAGTCCCAAAATGACCTAGTTTGTGTTGAGTGGACTTTAAACCCCATTTCTCTCTCTCTCTCTCTCTCTCTCTCTCTGTACAAGACAACTTTGCTGGCCATTTATGATTCTTTCTCTTATGACATCTTCACAGAATATATTGTATGTGGTTTAATATTCGACGGAGGGCTAGTCATCTTTGCTGAAAAATATAAATAAACATATACATGTACACAATTAAAACAAAATTCTGGAGCTTGGTTTACTCTCATTAATTTCGTACAACAGAGGAAAAAGACACTTACACAGGGGTTAACATCTTATTTTCATGCAGAAACCAGCTACTGAAGACAGGAAGGCATTAGCAGTACAAGGAGAGATAGAGAGGAGAATTGCGGTTTAACGTCCACTGGACAAAAACATAGTAATTTCAGGACTCACCCATGGTTCAGTTTTATTTGAATAATACCAGTGGCAAGAAGGCGGAGAATACAAATAAAAAAAACATCACAAATATTTACCTTTCTGATAACTGTCTAAGAAATTCAGTACATTAGCCACAATCCATGCGGGTGCTGTGAAATTTCTAGAGGAGGGAGCTGGAACCCATGAGCCCGTTAAATTCGCCACTGTAAATGAGCAGAGCTACATCAAACCTAATTTTGAGTCCCTCAGTGATAAATAACTTGATTCAAAATCGTATTATAGCCCCAACGACGATTTGATGAATGGAGACCGTAACGTTACGACAAAGTCTAACACTGTAAGTACCAAATAGTCATACGAGATATGTGCATCTCATCAAATTCAGCTTATACCATACCCACAATAATGTTACGGAGTCAGTGAGTTCAAGTTAGACAATACGCTGACCTTCCACTGACCATGCTTATAATATAAAATCTGTCAATGACAGCTGATTCATTGTTTAGTTTTTTATATGATATATTTAATATCAATAATATATGTATATGCATGCTTTATTTTACTTTACACGACCTCTAAAAATGCCCCAAATCGTAAAACTACGACTTTTTGGATTTCGATCTCCTTTTTTCGGCTACCCCGGACATTTTCAAAAAATTATACAATGAATTCACACAATAGGCCAGCTATTAGCCTCTCGATTGACAAGAGTTTCATCGCCCTCCATTCATTATAACCAATGTCATCGTGCCCTAAAGAATCAACAAATCAGCTTGCTTATCTCTGCTTACCCTAGGCAAAAAATGCTCATCTTTGAACTCAATCATGACATTGACCTAGTGAACGCCTACACCAAGTTTGAACATTCTAGCTTAATTAGAAGGAGAGTTCTTGTGTTCCAAAGTCCCGGCCCTTCTATTTTTCATTTTCAATTCAAAATGGTGACCATCACGTGACCGAAATCAAAATTCTGATCCGATAGATTTTTAGGCATTCCTTCCAGGATTCCGAAAATATGACGCCCGAGTCTGTAAGTAAAATAGCAAAAAAGCCTTTTTGATTTTTCACGTTTAAAGATGGTGGCACTTCCGGTTCGATCGACAAACTCCATATTTTGTGTACGAATCAGTAATTACTTGTCTAGTATCGAATTTTTTTTTTAGGTCATTCTGACCTATATTTCGACGATTTTTTTGAAAACTTTGATCCTTAATTTCACCAAGGGGAGATAATTTAGAAAATTTCCAAGGACATCATTGAAGTCGCATTGGCAAGATCTACTAACATTCTAAATTTCACGAAAATCGCACAACTATTAAAGAAGTTGTCAAATTGGTAATAACTTCCGGTTCGAAATGACAGCGACGAATTTTTGAAATGCCAAAATCCGAAATTGCAGATTTGAAGTAAATGTTTCAAGATACTCAAAGAAAAAAGAATTAGTAAAATAGGTCAAATAGTCACAAAGTTACAGCATTGTAGGTCAAATGCATTCCTTCGTAAAATTCGGTGATTTCGGATTCGTAAAACGTTTTGAAAATATATTTAATCAACAGCCACCACCCATTTTTGGGGGGATAGGTAAAAGTTTCAGAACGATCCTATGGTTAGATTCTGAGAAATCCGATTTGTGGACAAAACACAAAAAAAAAATAACAATAATAATCTTAACAGAAACAATAAGCTTTCATATGTAATATGAAAGCTTAATAATAATTTTAACAAAAACAATAGTGTTTCACACAAGCTACGCAGTGTGAAACCCTAATAATAATAATGACTTTATTTTCTGAGGGAACATATTTAGTACATGAGTTCAAATTTTCAACATGTCCCTCCTACTCTATAAAACTAGCAACTACACAGTAATAATATTTACAGAGTGCATATATATCATATTATATAAGCTTATAATAAAGAAATATCAAACAAACAAACAATAAAGAAAAAAAAAGGGAAAATAAACATACATTCAGAGGACAACAGTAATTAACAAGGGTTCAAAGATTTAACGTGTTTTACTAATTCCTTTCTGAAGATAAAACTTGAAGACGCGTGTTTCACAGTTTGAGGTAATGAATTCCAGAATACAGAGGCGGTATATTGGAATATTCTTGTCATTGACTTTTTCTTACTTTTTTGGAATTGCTAATTTAAGTTGACTTTCTGATCTCAATGTCATGGTAGTTTCGGTCAATTTAGAATTTTCACAGAATGTGTTATATAAATATGATGGTAATTTGTCTCTTAGAATTTTGAAGGTGAGCATTCCTTGGTTATATTGAATGCGTTGGTAGATTGTATAACTTACAATAGCAAAATGCATAAAAATGTGAAACAAGGAAAATTTACCTATACATTATTTTTATATATGGACATACATGTAGAGGGTACCAGTATTATTCTTTGACAGTAAAATATTTAAAAAGTTGTTTCTTGAAAGAATTTAAGTTAGTGGTCAGATTTAAGTATGGTGGTAAAAAATTTCTTAGGTTTGAGCCTTTAAAACGGATGCTGTTTTTTTTACAATATTAAACTTTGGTCGCAGAGTGATTAGTTTGTTATTAATGTTGTTATAGGAAGTTTCATAGAAAGACAAAAGATTGAACAGGTAATCAGGACGTTGCTTAGATACAATTTTGGAAATAAAGTTACATAAATTGTAGGCATGGTGGTTTTCTATTGTTAAAAGTTTTAAGGTATTTATTGTTGGGTATGGTACAGTTTAGCGGTATGATCGACATTAAGCAGCAGTTTAGCGGTATGATCGACATTAAGCAGTAGTTTAGCGGTATGATCGACATTAAGCAGTAGTTTAAAAGCCACGATTTGTCGTCTAGAAAAAAACATTCAAGAGATTTGGAGTCGAGGAGTCCCAGATTGGAGAACAGTAATCAAAATGTGTCTGAATATAAGCATTATAAAAAAAAGAGTGCGTAGGAGAGAGGGGGATATTGTTTAATCTTACGGAGAAGGAAAAGTTTCTGATTTAATTTTTTGGAGATATATTGAATATAGTGTTTCCAAGTTAAATTATGATTTAAAACGACATCTAAAAGTTTAAAGGATGAGACTACTTCTATTCTTGTGTACAGGACCTCCGTAGTTCACCCCAGCAGTCGAATATTCATCGACGAAATCTCGTATACATTGGCAGATGGAATTTAGTAGTCGGAAGGGCCGCTGTCTAGGCAGAAATGCCCTCACAGCACAGTGTATGGCGTAGGTCCTTCTTCATTAGCCCAGTCGCAGCAGAACAGTAGGACGTTAAACCCCATTTCACTTCATTTTATTTCTAATTAATTCGACGGGATGACCTGTATAACTCGCTATAAAAACTGTTGATCCTTAACAATGATTTAAAGAAGATTTGTGTCGAGCACACGTTACCCCTCCCCCCTGTCTCTCTCCCTCTCTCTCTCTCTCTCTCACGGATAGGACTCAGTACTCAGAAATTCGAGAGAGAAAGACTTTGCCATTCGTATTATTGTATTATTGAGGGCAACTTGAACAACCAGCTTATTATTAATAGCCATAATTTTAAATTTCTAAAAATAAAATTAATTCTCATTACACTCTTGGACTGGATGACCCCCCCCCCCCCACCTCCCCCCACCCGTTTCGTTTGAATAGAACTGGAGGGTTTTCTCTGGCCATTGTATGGCGTATGTCCTTCTTCATTAATGTTGGGTTTTTTTTTTATCTATTTCCCTATTTTTCAGATTACATCATGTGGCGAGGCGGGGTGCTTTTCGGACTATTCTGTCTGATATCTCGAGCCCCAGGACAATTGTCTCCAGTCAGTGGTAAATTTATAAAAATTACTTTTTTGGCAGAGGAAAATTAAATGTAGACAAAAGATGGATTTCTAAATTGCTCCACATTCTTCAAGATGTATTGTTATTTGGACTCAGTGACTAAGACACAAGCTTGCTAACTTGGGGGTCCCGTGTTTCATTCCGGTGTTTGTCGAGAAAGTTCATTGATGCAGGACATACATTGGCTCGATAACCTAGTGGTCCTGCGTCGACCCTGGTGTTGCTGTCAGTGGTAGGAGAGGGGCTAATGAAGATGGGCATAAGTCATACAGTCTGCTATGAGAAAATTTTGCCTGGACAGCGGAACAACAATCAAATCGTCTATCGGAATGTTAAGGGTTCTTTTACGGGCACACCAATGCGGGAATTCGACTGTTCGTCCGATCCGTAAGACTAGACGCTGTCCATGCCAGGCCCCCTGTTCTACATCACTGACAAACCCGCGGACGTTTCCCGGCCATCACTAAAAACCGATGGAACAGCCGCTTAAGATGATATGAAATTGATGACATTGTTGTATACATGTTGCAAATAAAACAATGAAATGTGTTTTTTTATCAGAAATACCTTCTTCCCAGGCCGGTGACAAAATCAATATCGATGATGGCACACATATTATGTCTTTGACTATGTGCTTAGCTCAACTATCTTGTATGAACGACAGGTATACTCTACGAGACGTTTCACCAGTACGTTTAGAACCGGAATCAAGGTAAGTTAAACTTGTATTTATTATCCCAGTATTTTAAAGGTGTAAATTCTCTCTTCGATATAACAGAATGATTCTTTAATATACCGGAACATATATATAAACATATATCTTCATACAGTACTGACTGGCCAGTTACTGCACTTAGTAAGAGATCTTAACTAGTGACTGCCTTCAATGTAGTTGTTGTTGTTTATTACAGATTTAACGTCCAATACAATACATATGATATTATGGACAAGTTGATTTAATTCAATTATTTACACTTAAGCATTTAAAAGTTAAAGTTAAAGGCATGTCATTAGTGTTTTCTTGCTAATGCCTCTCTCCAGATAAATGTTACCTGAAAAGTAAAGAAAAGAAAAGGAAGAGCCAGCAGCAACACAGAACAAAGCAATTAAAACAAATTAAAACATTTATAGAAATAATACATGACATAAATTAAATTAAATTGATTGTTAAGGTTCCTTATTCCTTTTGTTATTATTTTTCTCGCCTTCAATGTTATATTTAAGGAAAATCAGATAATTGGTTAAAAGTAAATGTTGTAATTAAAACTGACGTGTCGATAGATGAACAATGCATAAAAGATTAAACAATATAATAAATCAACAAAAACAATAGATGGTATTAACGTCGTTACCCAACGACTTACTAGCCGGTTGATCTTAAAGTGGTTAATTTAAGAAACATTAATTATCTTAGCGATTGGCAGATAAGAACATCATTATACTTTCCTCTGTTTTAGAAAAGACGCATACGAAAGAAATGATATATATTATTATTTGTTGAATGATGAAATCAATAATAAATAATATTAAATATTGTATTCCTAAAGTTATAAGTTCAAGCAAGGACTAAAATTAAACAATCGAGCAACAGAGAAACAATAGATGGCACTAAAGTGATGACAGGTTAACGACTTACTAGCGATTGGCAGATTATCACACCATTAGAGTATCACCCATGTAATGATCTCTCTCTCTCTCTCGCTGTTAGTAAATGTCATATGTTTATTTTTAGATTGATTCGACCAGCTGTACACATGTCGTCTTGTCCGAACTCTGGTCGTTTGTTCCGTACAGCTGATGGCTCCTGTAACAACATCCAACGACCCTCATGGGGACAATCATTGGAGCGATTTAAACGTTATGTGGATGCAGAGTATGCTGATGGTAATACATTTAATGAAATGAAATGAAATAGGGTTTAACGGCCTACCGTTCTGCACCGACTGAATATACTTCATACAATATAGTTTGGAGATTTTTCACGGCGGCGGCGCCATGGCCTACTCTTATATCGAATTTCAGCTGCCTAAGGGATCATTTACGTGGGCGCTAATAATGTCCTGGCAGTGGGGCAGAACAAGAAACCGAAGTCGGATGTACTCTTTGAGATACACGTAGCAGAAGCCTTGACAGTCGAAAACCGCTGTCTGGATAAAATTTCCATCATAGAACAACTGATTGGTGTATATACCTGTATTCATTATCTCAGTTGGAGCAGAACAGTAGGACGTTAAACCCCATTTAATTTCATTTTTAAACATATGTACATGTTGTACATATGTACATATTTTTTTTCTTAGTGTTTAACGTCCGCTTCCACCGAAATTGATATTGCAGACAAGTTGCCTTTATTTTCATTTTTATTATCTTAGCGCACGCGTGTGGGAGGAAACGGGAGTACATACGCTCACACCAGGAACCAAAACCACAACGACAAGCGCGACAACTTACACCACTAGCCCCCATTTCATTTTGTTTCTTCGTGTTGCAGAAATCGGGGATACTAGAAATTTTGTCAAAATCATATCCTTACTTATCATTTGTTCTTTTGGTTTCTTTTCCAGGAATTGGGGCCCCAAGAATTTATTCCAGTTCTGGACCTTGTAAATGGCCTAGGCGTCGAAGATGTCTATTACCTAGTGCTAGAACAGTCAGTATCAAAGTTCACACGCCAGTTACCCACATGTCACAACACTCGGTGATGCTCATGCAATGGGGACAATTTCTGGACCATGATTTAACTGCATCAGCCATTCAACAACGTAAGTAAAACAAACCACCAGTAGGCCTTTCGTTAGGCCTTAAGTTATTAATTAGACATTTATTAACTTGCCGAGGTCATAATCAAGTCTTGGATGTTCTAGATTTCAACAGATTTAAACACGATGGACGGTTAGTGATTTAATTAAAAAATGGATAACCGAGACTTTGTTCACTGTCGTAACAACGGTAGCAATGACATGCGAGACTCCGCCATTCTCCAAACGATCCTAACGTCTCTCAGAATGAAGTAATTTTAAGTGGCTAATTTTTTAACTCATTATCATCCACTGTCTTCGACATTTAAAACATATGTTTGTGATCTTACCGAGAAAAGATGTGATTCTGATATCCAATATTTTTAAGACAAAATAAACGTTTTACCATTGGTACACGAATCGTGTACCAGAATGCGTTCTGCGTCATTTGTAACAGGGGACTCGAAGAACGAGGTTAGATATATCACACAAGTCACGTCAATCGTTGACGTCATATTCTTATCTGGAGAGCATGCGCAATAAGTACTACCGATGTATACTGGAAACACCAGACGCTAGAGATTACCATTCGATTGACACTTCTGGCGTATTTCGCCGAACATAACTGATTTGAAATTAGAGTAAAAACAGAAACGATTGAATATAAATCAGTTTATATACATTCATACATTATTATATGCGTTGTGATCCATTTGTGTCAATTTCTAGGTCCCAAATATTAGCGATTCAGCTCCGTTAACTAAAACTTTAAAGATAATCCCTTTTTTGTTATGTAGCTTTTTTTAAATGGTAGAGCTCTTTAAGCATTTTAGTCTTTCTTATTCAAGCAAATGTTCTACGAATATTAGTCTAGATTGGTTGTCAATATCGGCTAGGGTGTCATAAACAAAGGGAGGTAACTAGCCCTAAAACAAGATGTCGACGCCTATGAAATTCATTTAAAAATTGACATTTCAGAAATGCCAATTGCATTGCCAGCTCATTATCCAATACATTATCCAGTGGGTTTGACGTCCACTCGACACATACTAGGTCATTTCGGGACTAACATATGGTTCAATTTAATTTCAATAACTCGCTTGCGCGTAGGGGGTCTATGTAGCTTGTCTCATCCCCGGTGGTTGACCCGTCCGCGTTGCATCATAAGGTATTGTTATTGGTGGGTTCAATGGCCGAATGGTTAGCATGTATCGTAAGGTATGTCATTCAGTCAACTGGCGTGGTTTCGATTCCCCGGTTGTAAGTGACAAGTAGTATGGTGGCTTATCCAACCTCGTGCTTTTTCTCCGCCCACTGCTAAAGACCCTACGCACAAGCGAGTTATTGAATTAAAATTGAACCATATGTTAGTCCCGAAATGACTCTCTCTCTCTCTCTCTTGTCCACATGTTTGTCTTGTTGTTTTTGTGTGTAGTGAAGTCATCCTAGAAACGGTTAAAATCTCTTTCTATTCTTCTTTCAGCCGAAGAAAATGCTTCACCGTGCTGTGATAATAGAAGGGCTAAAAAAGGAAAACTTCACCGACACTCCTTTAAAAAGTAAAACATTTATTGTTGTAATTTAAACTGGTTGGCTGGTAAACCAACTGGTGGCTCTTCCCACTGCCTGTTGAACCTCGTGGATTTTCTCCGCCCGCTCCACAACTGCCAAAAGACGCCTACACACAAACGAATTACTGAAATAATATTGTACGAGATTTGTGTCGAGCACACGTTACACCACCGCCCTCCCCCTCTCTCTCTCTTTTTTCTCTCTCTCTCTTTCTCTCTCTCGAGTGTCTGTCTGTTGTCTGTCTGTTGTCTGTCTGTCTCTCTCTCTCTTTCTCTCTCTCTCTCTCTCTCTCTCCCATCTCTTTCTCCCTCCTCTCTCTCTCGAGTGTCTGTCTATTGTCTGTCTGTTGTCTGTCTGTCTGTCTCTCTCTCTCTCTCTTTCTCTCTCTCTCTCTCTCTCTCTCTCCCATCTCTTTCTCCCTCTGTCTCTCACTCTCTCGAGTGTCTGTCTGTTGTCTGTCTGTCTGCCTTTCTCTCTCTCTCTCTCTCTCTCTCTCTCTCTGTAGAACATTTACCATCTAACCAAACTTTAGAATATTTACCATCTACCCAAACTCTAGCGTATTTACCCTCTATCCCAAACTCTAGCGTATTTACCCTCTATCCCAAATCTAGCGTATTTACCCTCTATCCCAAATCTAGAATATTTACCCTCTACCCCAACTCTAGAGTATTTACCCTCTACCCCATCTCTAGAGTATTTACCCTTTATCCCAACTCTAGACTTTTGTTGACCCCTACCCAAACTCTAGCTCTACCATAACTTATTATTATTATATTTTTCAGAAATAAAAGATGCTTTCCAATACCTATCGTTCAAAAACCTGCTGATCGTTTTTTTAAGTCTAAATGTTTAGACTTTATCCGATCTCGCTCAATTAACCCCAGAATAAGTAAGTATGTATAACTAATTAGACTTTATTTGTTGTTTCTTTATAAGTTTACTTTACTTTAACATGTCTATTAAATGTAATGGTTTCTTTGCTAGACCTTATTTTTTTTTATTTTCTAAAGAATCTATTCGCTTTTTCGAATTGTATCATTGTAAAAGCACCATAGAGCAGCTTTTTCCAGCTGGATTTTGGCGCTATATAAGTTTATTGAATTATTATTATTATTATAATCAGACTTTGTTGACCCTAGATTCAGTAGCCGCGGTGGCTCAGTGAGTACGACATTAGCTCGCTAACCAGGAGGGAGGTTCGGTGTTCGATCCCTGCGTTGGCCGAGAAAGTTCATTGGGATTGTAGGGTGTGGTTTCTACTTGTCAGTCATGTATGACAAGGGGCCTGACAAGGGACAACATGTAGTTGTTCGGATGGGACGAAACACCGAGGTCCCGTGTACACGTAAAAGATCCATTGACAGTTGGAATTCGATATAAGAGTAGGCATATAGGCCATCTTTATCAACCCAGTCGAGGCAGAACAGTAGGACTTTAATCCCTATTTCATTTCATTTCATTTCATTTTCCTAGAATCAGGAATTAAATAGGGTGGCCGAATGGCTTCACGCATGCGTGTTGAATCATCAGGTATGTCAGCTTGTACTTACCAATGAGTAGTGTCGTCTGCCCAGCCTCTGGTTTCCTACCACAGCTAAAGACTTCTAATCGCAATTGAATTATTGAAATAAAATTGAAACATATGTTAGTTCCGAACAATAATCAAACTTTAATTATTTGGTATTTATAAACGTTCGTCCCAGTATGGGAATATCTCTGATTTACATTCAATCGTTTCAGTTTTTACTCTATTTTCAAATCAGTTATGTTTGGCGAAATACTCCAGAAGTCTAAATCGAATAGCAGTCTCTAGTGTCTGGTTATTCCAGTCTACACCGATAGTATTTATTTCGCATGCGCTCCAGATAAGAATATGACGTCACCGAGTGACATAACTTGGGGAATATGTCTAGCCTCGTTCTTCGAATCCCTTGTTGCAAATGGTGCTGAAACGCATTATGGGACATGATTCATGTACCAATGGTAAAATTTGTATTTTGTCTTAAATATTGGATATCAGAAGCCCATCTTTTCCCGGTAAGATCACAACATCTTGATTTAAATTAACAAATAATCGTGTTTTCAATGTCGAAGACTTTGGATAATATTGAGCTTTATTTCTTATTTCAGACCGTAGGAATCCACGAGAACAACAGAATCTATTGACACCTTTTGTGGATGGTTCCAATGTTTATGGCAGTGACCAGGAAACACAAGATCGTCTACGATTACCTAACGGTAAGAAATGGACTGAACTAGGGTTAAACATCCAACGTTTGTAATCTCCACTGTTTTAGAATTCCAGATTACATGTTAAATGTACCCGTCAGTGAATAGACGGGTTTTGTTTGAACGGCAAGACGTTCATTGCTTGCCAGTACCTGTCCTGTCCCCCCCCCCCCCACACGTCTGGGTTTGTCTTGTCCCATCCGTCTGTAAAAGCGTAAGAATCAAAACCGGGATCTGGTCCATTCGACCACAATAACCCCACGAATTAAAAGATAAATAACTGTCTATTTATTATGGTTTTTATTTCCCAGGTCGTATGAAGACATCGACAGGTGATTTATTACCAAAAGGTAGAGATGACGTGTTAGGTTTTAGACGGTCGACTACTTGACAAAAATAACCCCACGAATTAAAAGATAAATAACTCTATATTTATTACGTTTTGTTTTTCCAGGTCGTATGAAGACATCCACTAATGATTTATTACCAACAGGTAGAGATGACATGTTAGGTGTTAGACAGTCGACCACTTGACAACAATAACCCCACGAATTAAAAGATAAATAACTATATTTATTATGGTCTTTATTTCCCAGGTCGTATGAAGACATCGAAAGGTGATTTATTACCAAAAGGTAGAAATGGAGACTGTATCAGAAAGAATGCACCATTCTGTTTCGATGCTGGTAAGTCACCTTTCCAACATCATTCCCAGATCCATAATCAACTCTCGATGTCATCGCTAGCCTGTGATGTTTATTGGATTAGGTTCCGATTTGCTGTTCGACTTCCATTCATGATTTAATCATGACATGGATAATCGAGACTATGTTTTTATCGTAACGACTTTAGTAATGATGATCGAGGCTAAGCCTAAAATTCAATCGCTACAATCTCGGTTCAGAGTGGATCAATTTGACTGAAATTTTAAGCAAATTCCCTTTACCTTATCTAGTTTTTAACTATTATCATTAGAACTGCCAGCTCTTTTATTTAATCTCCCATAATTTATCTTTAATTATTTGGTATTTATAAACGTCTCTCTCTATCCCTCTCTCTCTCTCTCTCTCTCTCTCTCTCTCTCTCTCTCCCTCTCTCTCTCTCTCTCTCTTAACAGACAGGTTTTCTATTTTCTAGGTGACGAAAGGGTACATGTGTATCCCGGATTAACAGTTTTACACACAGCTTTCGTCCGATACCATAATTATATTGTTGATGATTTAAAACAACACAATACAGGGTGGGATGGGGACAGATTGTTCCAGGAAACCAGAAAAATCATCAGTGCCCTTCTACAGGTGAGGGGAGTTATTTTATTATTTTAGAATATTGAAAGGTTTAATAAGAAATTTCATCGAGATATTCCGGTGTGGTTCATCTTTGTCTGTGATGCAGGACCGAGGGCCTGGCAAGCGATAGCTTATAGTCGTTCGAATGGGACGAAACCCCGCGGTCCCGTTGGAATTTGATATAAGAGTAGGCCACAAGAGGTTCGCAAGTCCGTTCGTTTGACACTTTACCTCAACGATCAGTGCCTGAAATACTGTCAGGCTGCATTTCCGGCAACTTGTTTTTCACAATGTTCTGGGGGAGCCCCCTACACCTAGTTTAAGCTCGTCCCTTTGCCCCCTTAAACTTGGACTTTGCCCCAGCTTTGCCCCTCCAACCATCGACGACTGGCGCCGCCACTGGAGGTGGAGTGCATGGTTTAACGCATGTGCGTTACATCGTAAGGTATGGCATTGAGTGAAGTGGTATGCTTTTTGTTCTATGTCTGTACGAGGTAAGGAGTAGGTTCGCATGTCAAACCTCGTATGTTACCTCTGGGTCCTCCGATTTCCTTCCACAGCTTAAGCGCGTTATTGTACAGTGTAAAGAATCTCTCTCTCTCTCTCTCTCTCTATCTCTCTCTCTCTCTCTTATATTCATTCATCATATATTGTTTTAAATAGAGAATCACCTACACGGAATTTTTACCTGAAGTTTTATCCGATGCCACCATGAATCACTACAATCTAAAGGAGGGAAACGACAACTACCAGTACAACATCAACGTTAATCCAAGTATCGCAAACGTTTTTGCCGCGGCAGCGTTTAGATATGGACACTCTAAAATTCCCGATGCTCTAGTTATAGACGATAAGGTAGTTCCAACTCGAAAACTCTTCAATGATCCACAGTTTATTTTCACCAGTTTGAAGTCAGTTGTTGAAAATATTCTATCCGACCCAGCTCAGCTCAGAGATCGTTTCCTGTCCGAACAAATCACAGATCACCTGTTTGAATCTGCCATGGGATCGTTTGATTTGGGTGCCTTTAATATCCAGCGAGGTCGAGATCACGGTCTACCACCTTACAACACCTTTAGAAAATTCTGCAATTTACCTGAAGCCAACAACTTCAACAGTGAACAATTCGAGAAAACGGCTCGAAAACCTCTTAAAAAGACCTACAAGTAAGTTGGACAACTTCTTCTTCGTCTTCTTCCCCTTCTTCTCCCCTGGGGCTTAACGCCCGCGTCCACCTGAAGTGGTATCGCAGACAACTGTTTCCAAATAAGATTGTTGTCTCGTGTAGGTTGGAGACGGGTGATTGATTAAGAGACCTATCGATTCCATTTCCTTAAACCCCATTTCATTTCATAATGCATGTTTAAAGGAACCTATTGTCAAAGAGAGAGAGAGAGAGAGAGAGAGAGAGAGAGAGAGAGGGAGAGAGAGAGGGGGTATCGTCCACTCGACACAAATTTCTATAAATTGCTTGCGAGTAGGGGTCTTTAGCAGTGGGAGGAAACCGGAGGACTCGGAGAAAACCCACGAGGTTGGACAACTCCCTGTCACGTACAACCGGGGAATCGAAACCACACCCACCGGTTGACTCAATGACATACCTTATGATACAGCACGCACGTGCTAACCATTTGGCCATCCCACCCCTCCTATTGTCAAAGAACATTACCTGTATTCAATAGGTACCGTCATCGATGCAAGTGTCATGTGTTCAATACCACATGTTAGACCTAAATGACATAGTTTGTGCTGAGTGGACGTTAAACACCGTTATTTTTCTAGCTCACTGATTCTTTCTAATATATGAAATGAAATGGGATTTGCGTCCAACTTTTCTGCGCCGACTGGGCTAATGAAGACGAGATACGCTATACAATGTGCTCTGGGGGGGGGGGGGGGGTGCCCGGACAGCGGGGTTACATCCAACTTTTAATTCGAATTGCATGCCAATGTTTACACAGTGCCTCGGTTTTTCGTCCGATCCGAACCACTAGACACTGCCCTAGCCAGGCCCTCCTTCATGGACCACGTCGGACAATGGGGATGAACTCCCCGCGACTCCCTTGTTTCTTACAGTCCACTAGCTTGTACTATGGAGTATCCACCAACAGCCTTTAATGAAAAGCACATTTATTTTGTAGAAGTGTTGATGATATTGATGTATTCGTCGGTGGTATGGCAGAACAAAATGAAAATGGGTCGGTTCTTGGCCCGCTCTTCAATTGTATCTTGGGCAGACAATTCAGCGATTTGAAATGTGGAGACAGTTTCTGGTATGAAACAACAGACCAGAAACGAGGATTCTCGAAAAGTGAGTAATTTTTCTCCCCTCTATGCCACCTGCCTCTGGAGCCGCGGTGTCTCAGTGAGTCAACTCTGCCTCGCTTATCTGGAGGTTCCGTTTTCGATCCTGGTGTTGGCCGAGAAAGTTCATCGAAATTTTCCGGGAAAGGTTTCCCCCTTGTTGGTGTAGATGGATGGCGGGTCTGGGAAGGGACAGCGTAGAGTCCTTCGGATGGGAAGAAAAACGTGTGCACGCAACAGAATTCGATAGAACGGTGGACCGTAGCGCCGCTGTCCGGTCAAAGTTTCCCTCATAGCACACTGTATGGCGTATGCCCGTCTTCATTTGTCAAGACGGTGCAGCGATATAGGACGTTAACCCCATTTCATTTACAAATGGTATCTCGATTCTTAGAAAGGTCGAAATAGTATTAGACATATCCTGGATTCATAGAGAGCTCAAAATATTATTAGACGTGACATCCTCGATTCTTAGAGAGGTAAAAATAGTATACCGGAAAACATGGCTGTACCGATTTTAACGATGTTGATACCACAAATATATTATTATTCAGTCTTTATATGGAGCTCTAGTTTGATCGTATTCGAATAAAATTATGCATAGAAAAACCTATGTATGTCGGGGATCTAAGATTAGACCTTGTTCCCGACAACAAAAGTTTTATAAAGGACTATATTTTAGTCAAAATAAGGCTAACAATTTTGAGTAAATTCTTAAATTAAGCCTGGCAATGCTTTGTGAACTCGTGGCCGGGTGGTTTCTGCTATATAAGTTCAAAATGGATATTGAAAAATGAATATATTGAAAATTTCATTGAAATAATTTATTCTGATCGTAGATAGAGGACTGTTTGAAAATATAGCGTAGATCGTTCATTATCGTTCCAACACTTCGATTGTTCATTTTATCGTCAGTTAGTTTTTTAAATCTCGCGGATGTTTAAATCCATATAAATCTTGGCATTCCGATGTTCTAGAGAATGGATTTTTTTTTTAAACTATATTTTATTCAATAAGAATGGGATTGGGGAACAGGCTAGGCCTATATCATCCCTCTCCTTTCAACAAAACAATATAATTACAATTAGTTTACTTATATACATGTATATAGTCCAAACTATTCATATTGTGTTATTAATTAATACAATTGTGCAAGTATACAATAATATTTTACAAATAAAAGGTTAATTGATATACATAATGACTATTTTGGTTTAAGGCCTGAAAGTGTACAAATATGTCAATATGTAAACAGAATCTAGAGATGGTAATGATAAATGACGATTACAGTATTTAAAATCTATTACTTAATTCTAAAAAGTTTTGCACCTCAGAAAATATTAATTTATTTTGCTCAAGTGAAATATCTGTAGAGCCGTACAATAGAAACTTTGTGTTGATGTATTCTGTTGGTAATGTTTTTATGGTTTTATTTCGTGCATCTGAATATAAGGGACATATCAGCAAAAAGTGATAAGGATCTTCAAAATTTTGTCCACATCGGCAGGTTGGAGAGTCGGTTATATGTCTCAAAAATGTATGTCCATTTAGATCGCTGTTAGATAAACGAATTCTTGAATGGATGATTTGAACTTTTAACAATATTGTAATAAGAAGGTACCAAGTGATCATGTTTTGAGAGATTTTGTTTAAAAATGAATAACGTATCTGAATTACGTATAGAAGGATCTAGATTGTTCCAAAGTCGTGTAGTTGAAGGAAAGAAAGAATTATAAAATAGATTGGTTTTACAAAAACAGTATGGAAGGTTTTTGTCATTTCTTAATAAGTATTTACTTTGTTTTTTGTTTAAATTATCATAAAGGTAATCAGGGGTTAAGTGGTTTATTATTTTATATAAAAATATCAACTTATGTCTTTCACGACGTTGTTTTAGAGGCAAAATACCGACTTCTTTATATAGTAGATCATGGCTAGTTCCCTTCACAGCGCCACATATTGTGCGTAAAGCATCTAATTGTAATTGTTCTAACTGGTTAGCTAAGTAATCCGTGCACCCATCCGAAATAATGTCAGCATAGTCAAAGTGTGGTAAAATATAGGAAGTATATATTGTTTTGAGTGATTTCCTTCCTAGTCGATACTTGAGTGATCTTAAGCAGTTGATAAATTTTGAAACTTTTCTATATGTATGTTCCATTTAAGATTGTTTTGAAAAATAAGCCCCAAATGTTTGTGATGAGATACTTCATTTATTTTAACCGTGTTCATGCAAAGTGGACTCGAATCGTGCTTAGATGTGGTTGAGAGTGGATTATAGCCTAGTCATGTAAATAAATGCCTAAATAATAATTAAAGGAAAAATAATTACCTACAATATAAAGATTTAACTCTTGCATAATTCTTCTTTAATTGGTGAAAAGAAACGTTAAAGAGAAATATGGTTTCTTCATTTTAATTTCCAGATCAACTTAAGGCCATTAAGAAAGTTTCTTTGTCTAAGATCCTGTGTCAAGTTTTTAACTTGGCTAAAATCCAAAAAAATCCTTTCCTGCACAAGTAAGTTTTTAAAGTTATACCGAGATAGTTAGTTGGTGGTGGAGTGTGCAATCTATTCAATAGTGGTAAATTCCTTCTTTTAAATCTACACATGATGCCTGATCTTTAACTTCACGTGCAGCATCGGTCAACGTGTGATGTTACATCCTACCTCCATAGAAGGGTTGAGATGGCCTAGTGTAATCTATTTCACAGCTGCAAATGCAAACGCCAACTTTTAAATCTATACAAGTTTTAAGTTCACGTGCAGTATAGGGTCACATCATCTCGGTTACTTTCGATATTGATTGCATGTCGGACCGTAACATCCTGGATTACGTCCCCTTATTTGAGGCCCACGAAAAATTGCTTTCTTCGCGTGTCCTCATGCATCTGTTGCAAATTTCTGGCGTATCTTGCGTGTTTTATAAAAAAAAAACATGGATATAATTTAACAAGATTTAAATTTATTATATTTTTATGTTTTACAGGGGCAAGAAAGTCGGATGTAAGAAACTGACAGGGTTGGACCTTAGTCCCTGGTATGAACATTAAATGATTTAAAGCAACTTTGCTAACGACGTTGGATGGCTCCATAACAATAACGTTGCGAACGACGCTAACGTCTATAACAACACCACTGATGACGTCATATTCAGCATATCGTACTGGCTTCCATGTACATTTCTTTAATGATCCTCTCATCCAATAAATTATTTTATTACAATTTCGATTCGTTTCGTTTGCTTTTCTCATCTTTAAAGGACAATATTGGTGTCAGTTATTATTACATATGTGACAGAACTAGTTAAACACATTTCAAATATAATTTTAACACAGAGATCAATGTTACAGTAGATGTGTAATGAAGGTTTCTACAAAAGGAAGTGACGAGCACAAAAGGAAAACACGAGTTATCCTTCTATATAACTGACTGAAGTTTAACTGACTGGGGTTTAACGTTCTACTTATCTACACCGACTGCGATAATTTGGACGGGAGCCATGTCTTGTTTTGAATTTCAACTGTCAAGGGATCTTTTACACGGGACCTCGGGTTTTCATCCCATCTGAACGACTGGACACTGTTCTAGCCAGGCCCTCGTTGGGTAAACCGCGCCTCCAAATTATAGGAAATCATAGTTTTTTACGTTTCCACAATTGGGCACCGTCCAAATATCAACTTCAAATAGTCGCCATTATTCCCTAGCTTATTGTCGTGTCCATTTTGTAAAAAATAAAAAAAAATACGTTTATGACTTTCCTTCTTTTTGATGGATTTATTTGTGATTTGTTTCCATAATTTCTGAAATCGATAAAAATATATTTCTGACTAAAATTCAATTCAGCAAGGTGTCAGACCATTGTAATTAATATTAATAATCTAAAACATGATTGTGTTTCATCCTAGACAGAAAGTATTATCAACCGCCTGAAACACGGCCTTGGTTCACCTGCAGTATTTAAAGTCCTGATCCTGATCAACACAGGACAGGATCAAAAATGGAAGCATAACGACAATAAGCGGAGAGTATTAAGTACCATTATATTGTATTTCCTCCTTCTAGACGTTTAAAGCAGGCTTCGCCATGGACGGTGGATGGCGAGCGCTGATAAGAACCCGCATGGTGTAATAATGTTATGATAACAAGTCGGGAGAATTAATTGAAGTGTTACCGAAGCTTCAGTGGATTTCTCTTTTAATAAGCATGACCTACAGCATGAGCTATATTGACTAAATAGCGGGAAAATTGAGTACAAACAGAATTTCCGCTAGATGGCGTTTATTTCCACTTGATGGAGTTTATTTCCGCTTGATGACGTTTTAATTAGACTTTCAGGCATAATTTCGTCAGCTTTCTTGGCATCTCCGGTGTCAATGGTTTCTTTATGTGTTGCTTTGACAGAAATAGCTGCATTCGAATTTTTCAGAAAGATTCCATCATCAAACGAATTTACGGCATATGGAGTTAAAACTGTTACGGAATTTCCACGAATCACCATTATTTTTACAACAGCGGACGACTTTACAAATATAGTGCAATCTGTAGCAGGATTTCCAAAAATCATTCTTGTGTTCACATCGCCATGAAGGTTTTTTGATATCACCGTCAACAACCACGCTTGGGTTCATATCTCCAAGAAGGGTTTTGGTATAACCATCACCAATCACCCGTGGGTTCACATCTCCATATAGGGTTTTGATATCACCATCACCAATCATCCTTGTGTTGACATCTCCATGAATGCTTTGATATCACCATCACCAATCATCCTTGTGTTGACATCTCCATGAAGGGGTTTTGTATCACCATCACCAATTTCATTTCTAATCTACTGATTCGACCTTCTATAATGACCGTAATTCAAGATGTTGCGTGTTATCTTATTCCTGCAACTAGCAGCAACATGGAAGTCCTCCACGATACTAAAGAACAATGCTTGTGGTCTAAAACTCTCTATGTCATCTGGGTGGAAGATAAAGTCTAAATTATTCAGTTTAACGCGAACAGGACGACAGGATTTGGTAGAACAACCTGAAAATAAAAAATAATATATACTATTCAAAAAAAGTAGGGGATATTTGATTTTGGGGGCATAATACTAAAATATGCAAATGACTACGAAAAAAGTCACTATAGAACCTAACAGAAGAAACATTTCCAGTTACATGTGACGCCCAAACGCACCAATAGCTACCGCATGGAATGCAGGTGATGCTTGGGATAATCATGGGGGTCCAACCCAAGATTTGCACGACTCTGACTTTGAATGTTACAGTCATTGTGGCATTGAATTCCAGGGTGGAAACATCAGTTTAATTGTTTTAGTGACCAGAAAACAAATTTTGATATGCGTCGGCTTACCCAAAATGAAAGGTTACGTGCCCTTGGCATGCTACAGATCGGCACAACACAGGCGGTTGTGGCGCGGACGATGAATGTTTCTCAGTCTGTCATAAGCAGGCTATGGTCCAGATACCGTGATACACAATCTGTACAGGACAGACCACGCTCAGGTCGACCAAGGGCGACAACTCAAGCCCAGGATCGATTCATCCGTACCTTGGCCTTGAGAAATCGTGTCATCACAGCAAATCAGATCAGCGCTCGTCTTCAAACAGACACTGTTGCTGGAAGAATGGCTTTACATGTTGTTGCAGGGCGTGTTACAGGCCAGTACTACCGGGACAACATCTTGGCAGTCCATGTTGTGCCGTTCGCACGACGTCATGGCCGCCGTTTCATCTTCCAGGATGACAACGCAAGATGTCACAGGGCCAGGATCGTTACAGGTTACCTCCAACAACAGAACATCACCACATTACCTTGGCCAGCACTGAGTCCCGACCTCTCCCCCATCGAGCATGTCTGGGACATGCTTGGACAGAGGTTACGTCAACGTCAACAACGTCCTGCCAATGTCCAAGAACTTGCTGCTGCGTTGCAACAGGAATGGGACAATCTGGACCAAAATGACCTTAGACGTCTCATTAGGAGTATGCCACGTCGGATCAATGCTTGTTTGGCAAACAGAGGAAGATTTACCCGTTACTGACTTGGTTGTGATGCTGTGGTAACTTTGCTGTTTGACCCCGGGTATCATTTTACCCTTATAATGGTCAGTCTGTGCCTTACTTAGTCTAACGATCATTTGGAATAACTCGATGAATGTGAACTTCATTTCATTTTGTCATTTGTTTCTTCGTCAGTTTCATTAGGTGACTTTAATAACACTTAAAAATCAAATATCCCCTACTTTTTTTGAATAGTATAATAAACGAAAATATAAATATTTGTCTAAACGCATGTTCACATCAAGGATTATTTTGTCTATGTGCCTATTTACACCGCGAATTGTTTGTCTAAAGGCCTGATGACACCAATCATTATTCGACTAAAGGCCTGCTCACATTAAGGCGTATTTGACAGCGGTTTTCCGTTTCTAACGAAAGATGTTTAGTCTGAGGCAAATCACAGAGTCCGACAGAATCAAGTGTTGTTACAAAAGATTGTTGCCAACGAGAAATCTGATTGTAGGCAAGGCACGGTATTTATTAGACACACACAGAGAAAATAGTATTTATTATAAGATAATATGATTTATAGAGCGCCGAATATCGAACACTTTTGTTGCTCAGTGGCACTTTACAAACACAATTTGTGAAATCGAAAAATAATAAAATACACAAACATAATACATTTTACACACAGAGACAAGCGATTGTAACACATATAAAACATACGTAGCTTTACTCATCCTCTGTTCCACAAAAAATAATATTTTGCTCAGAGATTGGAAACGGATTTAAAACAACAAACATTTCAAACCAAACTCAAAATACCTTTTGATTGAGTTCGAAGTCTGCTAGGACTTTCTTCACTCGATTCTTCCTGTACTATTTTAACATCCGTCACTTTATTTCTGTAATAAGATACAAAATGAAATTAAACTATAATCATTAGGCCTACTTTATTTTTATTACAGTAATAGAGGCAGTATTAATCAAGCCTGATAGGCCTATTTTTGGATTACATTTGATTAAATCTGAAAAAATCGACCAGATTTTTACACAAAACAATAGAATATTGTTTTCACTTACCGTATACAAATTGAGAATCAAAGGTTAGGGTAAAACTCGTATGAAAATAGCCATTATTTCTTGTAGAAAAATGATCTGCGACTTTCCGGTAGCGATATACATGGTAAATCCATAGACCGTATATACGGTCCATGGTAAATCTAATTGTTGTGACGTCATTCTATTGTATTACGTTGAATCAAAGCCATGTATAGGGAAAGTTACGACAACTCATTTACCGGCGTCATTTTGGGTCCCAACTATGACGCCACAAAGACTATGACGTCATGGCCCCGTCTTCATTAGCCCAGGTTAGGAGCAGAACAGTAGGACGTTAAACTCCATTTCATTTCACTTCATGACGTCATGGCGTCATATAGCTTTACTTAACAAAACGTTTTATTTTTTTCTTGGTATAACGTTTTACGGGCTATAATTTATCCTAAAAAAATTGCAAAAGAAACCAATGCAGTTTGGTTCAATGATAATATGTCAGACAAAATCATACTCAAAATCGGCCAAGGCAAAATGACATGATTAACATAATTCAATTTGGCGTTCTTCAGGAATTATCGAGAGCGCTATATCGTAATCAGTGTCTTTCAGGGGTGGTAGGATAAATAATTTATTTCTAAATCCCTCAAACACAGAGTGGTTATGCAAGCGAAGTGTGTCGAAAAATCGAATTTGACAAACATCAATTTAAAAATGTATTTTTCATTTGATGGCGGGCATTCTTTCAAAATGACAGCCAAATTTAAAATAAAAATGAAAAAAAACCCATTAATTTGGTAATAAAAAAGCAGCGATAATCTCAAAAATTTAATTTCGGGAATTCTTGATGGTAGAAATTCAAATTGGTTGGCTATGACTTGTAATATGTGGTATATTAATCCCAAAATTACATAGTTGCTCTTAAATGAATATATTGTTAACGCGCTTTAAACATCTAGATACAATAGACAAGGTGTAGAAAATTCAAGCTACATTCAAATGTTGGCAATAAAGATCTAATCATAGTTTTTAGTTATACACTGTTAACCACCCGTAGATGTTATAAATCACATAATTTATTCAGCTCGAGGCAAGATTTAAAATGAATAGATGCGGTTCGTTTAACTTGAATGTAGATATTATATCATGGATATAT